ATTTTAAAATCATCAATGTCTCATGCGCATTTTCACCGATGTATTGCTGTGCTTGTCATTTGACAGCTGCAAAACAAGAATAGGTTAGCCATCAGGAGAAATGCGCAGAAGCAATTGATGAATTTAAAAACTTGCCTAATTTATACCAAAATTGTAATTTTTGACATAAATTTGTTGAATTTAAAAACTGGCGCCACATTGTGCTTTCGATCTCTTGATGATTAAATTACCTATCCTTGTTTTGCTGCTGTCAAATGACAAGGACATCATTACATCGGTGAAAATGCGCATATGTCATTAATGATTTTAAAAACGTGCCCCGTGCCCTAACTTAGCATAATGATTTGGGGATTTTGTTTTCAGTGTCCGGGTAAAATTGGGTATTTTATGAGATTGGAAAGGGTAATGAGAATTCTCGGTCCGGCAACACTGATACTCACCTATGAAATGATATTCCCGTTGATTTCTTCTTTTCTACGCCAAATTCGCTGCAGCAACTTCTTACTGCACATGAAGACATTATACTTCTCTCATACACAACACAAGCAAGTCGAAAAAACCCCAAAATAAGCAAAAATTGCGTATTACGTCTCGAAATCAGAAATTGAGTATGACAGTTGTAATGTCAGTAGGTAAGTAATGACACAAAACCAGCACTAGTATGGCGGACCCGCTACCACTTTTTGTCAGGTGACGTCGCCTCCTACCCTATATACTACCTCAATGCCCCTACCCCACCACCAAATCACCATCGGTGACGTAGACAGCATGTCGTTTCTCGCCTTGACCTAGACTGTTTGCACCACAGGAATCAACGCTTTTACTTTATGCATACTTGGTTTTACTACATTAATTAACATTTTAAAACAACTATTTTTCAGATCTCGTTTGCATCTTCCTATTTGCCTATTATGTTAATCAAAATTAAATAATATTTTTCATCATAGATTTAAATTCTAAACTACGACTGCTGGCGCAAACAGCTGACATCGCTGACGACTTAGTTGATGACGTCGGCAATGGTGATACACCAATATGGCGGCCATTGCCAAAAATGAGGCCGATAAGCAATAAAGCAATCCTTAGTGGTGATTATTACCCTTGGGCCGAATTCGCCAAATTCTTAACTGTCAAATGTTAAATGTTGTCGAATAACCAGCACGTTGCGATTTGCTGAGACTAGAGATGAGGGAATGAGGGGCAAAATCGAATTACCTATTTCACGCTTTTTGAAATATCAGAGAATACGGGACATTTACGCGTCCCGACAACAAATTTGGGGACGCGGGACATGGACCTTGGAATAAGGGACTGTCCCGTATAATACGGGACGTATGGCAGGCTTACTTCTTAAGGAATAGGTACTTATCGTTAAGGCTTCCCTAAATTAGTTGGTGGAAACGGCCATTAATGCGTAATAATGGCCGTTTTCCACCAACTATTTTAAGGAAGCCTTAACGATAAGTATTTTCCAAACTGATAGTTTTCCGTATGGAGGAATGTCAGTTTAGGGAATACTTATCGTTAAGGCTTCCCTAAAATAGTTGGTGGAAACGGCCATAAAACCAAGTATGCATAAGCAAGAGCCAGCCCAATACCTACAGTGGCGACAATTGCTGTCTTATTTTTGATTGGTTCTAAAATCCCATATATTTATATTGAAAAGGCGGCCATCTTGTTCCCACCTATTGCTTATTTCAAATATGAATATAATGGGATTTGGGTGATCATCCATCATAAAACATGGAAAACAACGTATTTGATGGACCTAATAATAATCATCGAATACGTCGATTTCAATTTTTTATGATAGATGTCCATTTAAATTCTATATATTAATATTTTAAAGTAACAAGAGGTTGGGAACAAAATGGCGGCGGGACCTCTATTGTCGCCACTAGTTGTATTCCTTTCACACTTAAGGTACGTTTTCGCTGGAGCCGTCAAAGGCCGCCGTCGACGGTCGCCGTTGACGGTGCCCATTGCTAATCATTTGATTCAATGAAAATACGACGGTCGCGGTGAGACGCGCTAAAGAAACCATACTCATTGAATCAAATGAATAGCAGTGGGCACCGTCAACGGCGGCGTTCGACGGCTTCAGCGAAAACGTACCTTTAGGAGGAGCTCCGGAGCAGTCGGGGGCGACTGAACACCGGAGCGAGTAGCTCGAGTGTTTCAAACTCTTGAAAGGAATACAACTATTGTATGTAAAGGTTTATTAGCCACTGTAGCCCAATCATAACCTGTGGTGTAAGCACCCTACGTCAAGTCAAGAAACGATATGCTGCCGACATAATCACTGGTACTTGGCCGTTGGCCGTGGTGGCTGGGGGGACTTGAAATTTGATCTACACAGGCCTTATGAGGATAGCCTATTCTGTGTGTAATATCCTTGGTACTATTGACCCTCTGGCCTCTAGGGGCCGGTTTCTTAACGAGTCACCTCCCGGTTGGTTTTAACTCCAGGGTCCTTATTCTTGAAACAGGGGAGCAACGTTCCCAGGAGAACGAGTGTTCCATCTTTCTCAATGATATGCAAATTATAACATAAGGCGATTTTCAGCCTGGAATGATTATTTATCGGTAAATACCGTGGTTATTCTTTTGGTTGACAACTTTGACAGCCAAGTGTGACGTCATAGCCCCCCACCATTCAAGAATCATAACCCAAGGAACTGACCGCTGAAATGATTTGGTTATACCAGTGTAGAATTATGTTTATTATTCTTATTTGGTTTTTCGTTTCAACAATAGTTTTTTGTTTAGGTACAAAAAATGGAGCTGAATTTCTCGTTAGTCTCGTTTATCAAACAAATTTTCTTTGGGGATGATATAAACCTCGATCTAAACATGGTGAATTGCAGTGAGTGAGTGAATGTATACTTCTTTCATTGTGCCAGGCTACAACGCAACTGCAAAATCACAAAACACCAATACGAATTCCAAAAATAATAACAATAACATCAAAAAGCTTTAACCAAAAGATTAACCCAAGTCCAAAGCTGGGTTATAAGTGGTAAATACCAAAAGCAAATCAGCTGATATGTGACGTCACAACTTCCCCTACTTGGGTTAAAACCGCGACGGCGGAAATGCATTGGTTATAACCAAATAATAATCATTCCAGGCTGAAAATCGCCTATAAGTAACAAAGGGCGCGTTTGGGTTCACGCTCGGTGCACTCAGAGCATGCACTTTTGTCTCTCTTCCGTTATTTTTGAAGCTCCGACGACGCTTGATTGTGTTTGGTTTGACATATTTTGAGCGCTCAGAGCGAGCTCGATAAACTCCTAGTTTGTGGGGTGGGCAGCTGGAGCGTGCATGCGCAGTTTAATCTGTCTGTTTGTCTGTATAACCTAACCTATTTTCCATGATAAGATAAATAAACAATCCTAATTTTAACATATACTTGTTAGGTGGATAGTTTTAACTATTTTGTTTAAATGTTAACAATCAAATAGCTAGTAGATTCTGCATAATTGTTTACTTTTAATTAAATTTTCTTGATAGTCCTCATCACTGGTATTATTGAACATATTTTTCCAAGGGAACTTGGCAGCCTCAGAGTGTTTAGGTCCGTTTTATTGTTTATGTAGTACGACATTTTTTGCAGAATACAAAAGAAAATGGGGCTGTTTGAAAATTATCGACTAAAATGCAAAACAAACGAGAAAACTCTAGTGCAAATGCCGAATGCGGTCTCGGACTCCAAAAAATATATGCTAAGAAAAATAAACAATAATCAGCTGATCGCTCAACCCAGCATTTTTGCACAAGTTTATTTGCTTGACACGGTGTACTCCCTGTGACGTCACGTTACTCCGTAATCGCTCCGCCGAGCATCAACCCAAACACGCCCAAAGACGGAACACTCGTTCTCCTGGAAATACTGCTCCCCCGTTTCAAGAATAAGGGCTCAGGGTAAGCGTGTCCAGTTGCCATGTCACCCCCGGGCTAAGCATAACTCCAGGGTAAACATCGCAACTGGACGCGCTTACCCTAGGGTTAACAACTAACCCGGAGGCGACTCGCTATTGAGAAACCGCCCTAACACAGCTTACCTCTATACACTCTACAACTCTACATCTAGCCCTCTACTACTCTGAAAAATTCGTATCGCAAATCCGTACCACACATCCCTCTACCTTATAGTCCAGGAGGTGGCGCCAAAAACATGCAAGAGTTTTCGCAAGGCGGATATTTTCAAAATAGGTCGTACTTTAGTGCTAGAATGCTAGTGTACAGTCAGCACTCACAGTTCCGGGACAGCTGGCTCTGGGACGCGGGCAAAGTTGTAATTTTAAGAAGCATCTAAACTGTTTTCTCAAAGCTCAAAATTTATAGAAATTTTGCACATTATCTGTTTGAAGGTCACAGATAACGTATGTAAATCGTCAGACGTCTAGTTCGTTGCAAAAAGGGGGTCAGACGTCCTCAAAGTTTTTATTTTATGGCATTTTCTTCATATATATTTGTCAAATACCTGCAAAAATATATTTTGACAGGACACCGAAGAAAATGCCATAAAATAAAAACTTTGAGGACGTCTGACCCCCTTTTTGCAACGAACTAGACGTCTGACGATTTACAAATGTTATCTGTGACCTTCAAACAGATAATGTGCAAAATTTCTATAAATTTTGAGCTTTGAGAAAACAGTTTAGATGCTTCTTAAAATTACAACTTTGCCCGCGTCCCAGAGCCAGCTGTCCCGGAACTGTGAGTGCTGACTGTACACTAGCATTCTAGCACTGAAGTACGACCTATTTTGAAAATATCCGCCTTGCGAAAACTCTTGCATGTTTCTGACGCCAGCTCCCCAACTATTATTCTTCGATTTAAATCGAGATTCCTACCTATCTCGATATTATTTTGAGTGTGGTTGTGTTTTTAAGTAGAGAGCCTGTCCTGCACGGGCGATCAACTCTTCTAGTGTAGTAGTGTACCCATCTGTGATTGAAAAAGAAAGCACCTTTTCAAGTCAAATGTCAGCTTGTCAACGTCAGAAAAAATACGCGGCAAATTTCAAAAGGTTTGTTGATGTCCTTGCGAAGCAAGGCCAAAGGCCACAAGACTATAACAATAACATAACCAACCCAACAACACAATAATTATTTCTATTCTGTAGTTTTTTTTCTACAGATTTCCGTGGCGTAAACCCCAATAATAGTTCTCACTGCAATGGAAAGTTTCTTAAAATTTTTAAAAGCTTCAAAAAATTTTGTGGTAAGTTTACCTCGATTTTACTTTATGTTAATTACAATATTTCTAGTGTTTCCTTTGTAGAAAACTCAAGTTTTAGATTTAGAGAGTGTCCATCTTGTGCTAGGAAATGAGTCTTGCGATTTGGACTCTTCAATAGCAGCCCTCACTTTAGCCTATTTTCTTCACAAACAAACCCCAAAAAACACTATCACTATACCCATACTGAATGTTTCTAGAGCAGATTTCAAACTCCATACTGAAAGCACTCATGTTTTGCAAAAGGCAGAAGTGTCAATACATGACCTGGTTTATCGGTAAGGAACATCCAATACAATAGTTGGTTCATAATTTTAAAACATATTTTTTTTTCCTGTTTAGGGACGATATAAATTTTAAAGAAATTACTTCCAAATACTCAGTGGTTGTTTCTTTAGTTGATCATCATGTTCTTTCAAAAAACGATGAAATATTGGCACCATATGTTAGAGAAATTATTGACCATAGGCCTGTTGATAGCAGTTATCAATGGGACTCAAATAAAGTGCAAATAAGGATAGAACCAGTAGGGTCTTGTTGCACCCTTATTGCTGATAAAATACTAAAGAGTGACCCTGATATTTTATGCAAAAGTTTAGCTTATTTGCTTTACCGTAAGTGTAACCACAGCTAATGAATTTGCATTGAAGTATCTATTCCAGAAACAATAATCTACGATACAATCGCCCTGAATCCAGAAAATCATAAAGCAACCCCATTGGATATTGATACAGGATATGTTCTAGAACAAAAGTTTGGGTTTGTTGAATCCAGACAAGAAGTTTTCGATAAACTATGGCAGGCCCATAACGATGTTTCGCATTTAACACCCCTTCAATTGCTCAGTAAAGATTTAAAGTTGGTGGGTGGAATTTATGTGCCAGGTTTACCCATGTTGGTTGAGGATTATTTGAGGTTGCCTGGAGCCATTGATGCAGTTGAGGCGTTTGTAGAGGATCATAAGGTAAGATTTATTAGTAGGTCTCATATTCATCTGTAAAACTCAAATTACTTCGACCCTTGTAGAGTTTTCTCCAAGAATTTAAATCTTATACTTCTAGGTGACGTGCATTTTATTGATTGGATTAAATGCCTCAAATGGTAAAGTGGAAAGAGATTTAGCAGTATATTCAAGAAACATTGAAGATAAGTTAAGAAAAATTTTGTTGGAATCGCTAATGAAAGCTGACCATGAGCTTGATTGTCGATTTGAAAAAAGAAAAACTTCATGTGAAGATAAAATCGATTTGTTGCACGTTTACAATATTAAATTGTCCAGAAAGCAAATGGTTCCTGTAGTGAAAAGTGCATGGAAATCTTACAGTGAGGAATAGGGTGAGATTTTTTCCAGAAATATTTTGGTGCTGTACAATAATTAAAGTGCGTTTTGTATTAATTTATTTTGAGTATTTTTACTATATTCAGTACAACAGCACTGTCTGCTTCTGTTATTTTTCAGCAATATGTTACACTAATGCAGGAGAAGATTCTGCGGTGCAAAGAAAAAAGTCTAGTATCAATTAGAAGTTCAAAATTCTAAAATTATTTGAAGTAAATATACTTTCATGTGAAATTGAATTCATTATTAGGTACTTATATTGTCAACTGATAGGGTTATCTGGGAAAATAATACACAATATATCACAGGGTTGGCAAGAAAAACAAAATTTTTGAAAATTTTTATTGGGTTTTGCAAGTTATTGTGATAGTAGTCTTTTTGTAGGGTTTTTGTGGTTACTTAGCTTAACAAAATTGTATATTTGTTCTAACAGCTGAACACCTTAGAACAAAATTGAATTTATCAAACAGTGAAAATTTTCCAAAAATGACGCTGAGACAGTTTTTGCCTCACAGTTCCTTCATTCAAACGCAATTAGGCTCTAATTGAAGCCAATTAAATTCTCTACAAACCTATCAATTGAGATTTTGATTTGGTTTCAACAGCTATGAACCTGAGAATCTTCAAAATTGAATTTATTGAACATTGAAAGTTTGCTAAAAATGACACTGAGACAGTATTTGCTTCTCAGCTCTGTTAATTTTAATCCGATTTCAGTGTAATCAAGCTCCAGTTGAAACCAATTAAATTATCTACAAACCTGTTAATTAGGATTTTAATTTCAACAGTTTTGCAGCTGAGAAGCTTTAAAATTGAAATTATTGAACAGTTTCAGTGTAATTGAGCTCCAGTTAGAGCCAATAAAATTCTCTACAAACCTATCAATTAAGATTTCAACTTGGTTTCAACAGTTTTGCAGCTGAGAAGCTTCAAAATTGAATCTATCGAATATTGAGAAATTTCCAAAAATGACACTGACTGAGAATATTTTTCCCTCATAGCTCCTTTAATTTTTATCTGATTTCAACGCAATTAGGCTCTTATTGAAGCCCATCAAATTCTCTACAAACCTAATGATTACCATTTTAATTTGGTTTGAACAGTTCGGCACCTGAGAAGCTTCAAAATTGAATATATTGAACATTGAAAATTTGCCAAAATTGACACTGAAACAGTTTTTGCTTCACAGCTACGTTAATTTTCATCCGATTTCAATTTAATAAAGCTCCAGCCAAAGCCAATTAAATTCTCTACGATTCTATCAATTGAAGATTTTAACTAGGTTTCAACAGTTTTGCAGCTGAGAATTGAAAATTTTCCAAAAATGACACTGAAACAGTTTTTGCCTCGCAGCGCCGTTAATTTTCATCTGATTCTAACGTAATTAGGCTCTAATTGAAGTTAATTAAATTCTCTACAAACTTATTATTCGAGATTTCAATTTAGTTCCAAAAGCTTCGCAGCTGAGAGTCTTCAAAATTGAATTTATCGAATATTGAATTTTTTTCTAAAATGACACTGAGACAGCGCCAGTAAGTAATTTTTATTTGACTTCAGTTTAATTAGGCTCCAGTTAAAGCCAACTAGATTCTCTGCAAACATGTTAATTGATATTTCGTTTGGATTGATAGTTGGCACTATGGTAGGAATGAGTTCTGTATGAGTGGGTTTTTGACACAAAAAGCCCAAAGCCCACTGGGTTTTTGTCAATATTGATGGAGGGTTTTTGTGTCAAAAACTCACTGGTTTTATGAAATGGGTTCCTCTTCGGGAACTCTACTGGGAAAACCCCTCTGGGCATTCCAGAGTATTGTTGCCCAGTCACCTTTGTCTAAAGTTGCCTATTGCTTGTTACCTGTTGCCTAAGTCGTGCTTATCTGTTTCAGAGAGCATCTACAGTCCAGCCGCATATAAAAGAGACGTTATAGCTGGCTCTAGGGTCCTGTTATGGTGAAAACTTCCGCAACAATATACCATACATAATATGACGTAATGATTATAGTACTAATCGAGTTTCTCTTTCCATCTACTACCACCAAATCTGGAATGTTTCGTGTAAAAAAAAAGTTGAGAATAAAGCCCTTCCTACGCTTAAAAATTCGTTACAAGTGTGTCTCATTTATATCCTGAATGTAGTAAAAAGAACGACGCTGGATTGGTTTCTGAGAAAAAAATTGAGTGTATTATAACAACAAGTGACAGAAGTTTGGATTTTAATCAATAATTAGTGATTTAGGTGAATAATATTCACATGTTTAACCATAAAAAAAAGATGTTGTGAAGGTAAGCCAGGTTTGTTCTTAGTTTAGAAATTCAAGTACTTAATGGAAACACAGCTTGGGTTCCAGTTGCCCCGGTAAAAATACGTACAGAGGCAACTGGAAGAATCCGTAGAACCTCCAAAAGTGCAGGATGGTGGAAGATACACCAAGTTGGCCCTGAAAAAAAACCAATTGAAGATGTCCAAAACGCTAAGAGAACAATGCCGCTTCTCGAGCGTGATAGGACATTTCCTTGCGAGTGCGCATATCCGTAAGAAAAAAAAAAAAAATATACGGTGCTGCAGTTTTCTATGACATCCACAATAAGATAAGACCCTTCGTATTTGGAACAAGAGGGAAAGGTATATTGTCAGTAGCAGGATAAGGTGGTGGAAAAATATATGAATGAAGTAGAAGAAGAACTGACAACTGTGCCAAAAACCATGCAGAAATGGAGATTTGGATTACTTACAAAAAAAAATAGGTTTCCCATTGTATTTTTTGTTCATTTTACCATTTTGTTTAAACGTTATTTTCTCACCACCAAGTGCGGGTATTATAAAACTACTTTGAGAGTTAACTTCTGAAATTACATGTAATTCAAAAAGTTAAGTGTCAAAGCAGTTTTATAATACCCGCCCTAAGTAATACTTTTGTTCCCATATTTCCCATAATTCTTGAGCAAAAAAAATAAAATTTGGTAGGATCTTTACGTTTAGTTACAATTTGTTCCAGTCGCCTCAGAATGATTAGTATCTGAATGCATAAGAAAATAGGGGTCACTATTTCAGTTGCCTCAAAATTAGGGTAACTGGAAAAGCCGACCAAAAACAACTGGAACAGTCGACCAAAAACAACTGGAACACTCAACCAGAACAAAGTTGAACACTGAACCAGAACAAACCAGAACGAACATGCATGCAGTTCTCGAGATTTTAATGAAAATACCCAAAAATACGTTGAAAGTAGGGTTGGAAGTAATAGAAATTTACAAGTACTTCCATGTATTTTCGAATTATTCCCATGTACTTTCAGAGTATTCCTATATACTTTCAGAGTATTCTCAAGGATTTCCAAGTATTCCTAGTTATTTCCAGAGTATTGCCAAGCATTCCTAGGTATTCCCACCAAACTGTACAGTGATTTCCACGAGTGATTTTCCCCTCGATTGTTAAATACTCTAGTATAGCATGAAAGCACAACCAAAGTTGTTGCTACATTTTCATTGTTGTCAGTACCTATAGATAAGGCTAATATAAAGTTCATAAGAAAATATTGTATTCATTCTTGGTTCTCTTGGACATGTATGAAACTCCGATTTCTGACCATTCTAGTGTTACAGGTTACAGTTGACATAGAGCGGTATAGTAACCTCATTTTGCACCTGAAATTTTACTGAATATGGTATGGATATAAGGCTCACAATACACAATTGAACTAGAACAGTTTGAGAAGCTCACTTTCCGTGTAGAGAAGAATAAAAATCCTATTCCAGGCTTTCGTAGAGTAGTGAACTCCAATTTTAAACCTTCCTAAAGTTGAAGAAGGCTATGACAGTTTAAAACGCTCGTTTTTGGCCGTCGTGGTTCTGAATCTGATGTAGCGAAAACCCTGGCTCTCACAGAGTTAAAACTGTTGGAGAAGTATCAAGCTTTGATTTATAATAATAATAATATTCTTTATTGCCAACAAAAATTGTATGAAAACAATACAAGCAACGTCACAAGGCTGATCCAAGGAGTTATTATCAATACAGACAATCAATATGTTTTAGGGTAAAAATACACAACAATTTGCCAACACAGTGCTAAAATAAAATAAAATGCATAAGTAGGATTTTTGATACAAAAAATCTATCCACATTTTCAATTGCGTCTATGTTGTCTGGCAACATTCTATAAGCTTTAATGCCCATAAAGTAAGGGCCCCTCTCAAAAAATGTTGAGCCTCAGTCGTCTCAGGAGACTATACAACCTACTCAACCTCAACTGAAGCGAATCAATATGAACTTCCCAATTCAGATTAGGGCAATGACATTAGGGTCAATATCGAGTCCCAGAAACTTATGTGATCAGTGAGCGGAACAGTCCTCCCATCCATTCGAACAAAAAGATACTCCAAGTTATTTTGAGTCTTGGAAAAAACTATTAAACCTGTTTTATTGGTGTTCAAACTCAGGTTCTTCCCAATACAGCACTCTTTCATCCTCAGGGCGGTATCCGCACAGCTCTGGGAGAGGTCATCATTATTAGATCGAGCTACCACAACCGAGGTGTCATCGGCAAACTGACAGATGACCTCAGACGGAAACCCCTCAGCCAATCGATTGACATACAACAAGAACAACATAGGACCCAGGATGGAATCCTGCGAGATACCCTGCCTTGAACTGGCCATTCCAGAAAAAGACTAAACACCATCCCTGACAACACAAACAGCTTGCCTCCTGCCCAACAAATAAGACTTCAGCAGATCTGCTGCAGCACCTCTAACACCATAATGGTTCAGTATACACAGCATCAGTGAATGGTCAGTATCGACTGCCTTAGACAAATCGAAGTAGAGGCCTGAAACCTTGGAGTTTTTATCCATTTGATTAGTTATATATTTTATTGCATGGAAAATTGCCATATAAGTGGACATTTTAGGAATAAATCCAAATTGTTGCTTGCTCAGTATGTTATGTCTAATCAGATGATTCATTACTCTTGAATAAATAACCCTCTTAAATGTAGGCAAAACTGCTACTGGACGGAAGTTTCCAATATCCTGACTATTTCCTTTCTTAAACACTGGAACCACTTAAGCCCTTTTGAGAATATCAGGAAATACTTGAGTAGAAAGACACTCATCAACAACATCAGACAAAGGCTCCGGCACACAGAGAGCTAAATTTTAACACATAGACAGGAACTCCATCAAGACCCGAAGAATACTTATTAGGGAGTGACATCAAAGTTCTGAAAATCTCCTGTGGGTCAACTAGCTCCAGAAAAATTGGTGGATAGTTACCATTATTTTCAATAACATTCAGTCAGAGGATGAAAAGGCAGATCGAAATGATCAGCAAAGAGCTGAGCCAAGGGGTTAGGATCATCAACTGACATTCCGCATCTACCTTCAATGAGATATTTGTTTTAGTTTTATTTTCATTGGATTCAGAATTTATAACTGCCCTGCCCACGCAGATCTTATTTTATTATTTGAGTTTGCTATTCTGTTGTTATTATGATTTTTGATAATCAGATAAAAACTTCTTATGTTTCTTTGTTTCCTTTTTGTAAATGTCATTATGAGCCCTGAGCCCTACAGTTTGTGCAGACTTATAGGTCTTTAATGTAATTAGAGTATTTCCGAATTTTAAAAATCTCATTATTTTTTACTTTTGTGTAAGACAATGGAAATGCAATATTAAAATGGTATTTGAAAAATTGAAGTATGCTGAGTATTTTGTTGTTTTCTTAATATACTTTATGACTATTTTAGAGTTAAAGCTGACGCGGTATAAGAATCTCATTTTGCAGTTTTGCACCCTCTTCAAACGGAATTTGAACTAGAGAATCCTGAAAATCTTATTCCCATCTTCTGATTACTTCAACCAAAGCTTCAACTAGAAAAAAATAAATCTTCAATTCCTGCCCATTTTGGAACTGAAGGTGAGCTGCTTAAAATGCTAATTTTTAGCCCGATAGAGCTGAATTTGAATCAGAGAAGTTTGAAAATCTTATTAATGTAAAGTCCGTAAAGAAAGAAAGTCTTTTTATAAAAGCCACCCAGACTAGATTATTGTCGAATCTATAAAATGTTTTCTAAGTTAGATATGAATTTAGATTATCCTGGAATTTAATGTAGGAGCCATATTAGGAATCTACAAAGTATCTCGAATAGAGTAGTGGCACCTGTATAATTCAATGTAGAGCTCAAAATCTACAAAAGGGTGTCCGAGATTATCACGAAGAACGTTGAATTTACTGAAAGAACAGAGTAGGTATCTAAATTTTTATGGAACCTGTAAATTTGATGTTGGAGCCATTGAGATTCTACAATGTCTAGTTTACTGTAGAAGGCTGTTAAATTTAATATAGAGCTCATAATATAGAATCTACAGAACGGTTCCTAAACTCTACAACATACTGAAATTTAAAATGGTTTAAAAGGTTCTCCTAGAGCTGAAATCTCATAGAGCTGAATTGAATATTAACTCTGTCGCATGTGGAAAGGGAGAGAAAAGTGTCAAATAGATCTCAGAGCTAAAAAATGGTTTGAGCGAAATGCAAGTTTAAGTTCAAAACTAGAAAAATGAGAAATTTTGTGCTCACACTTAAAACATTAGAGCCTGTTTGGAACAAATTTTGAACACCGAGCTCACAGTTTAATAATGGCTTGACTCATCAATATCCTCTTACAGAATATTTGAAATTAGAACTGAAAAATTAGGGTCTAGAGCCTGGTTTTCATTGAATAATATTAAGCTCGCTGACAAGAGGTTTTGCTTACAATTAAGATTCAAAACTGTACCAGGTGTCCCACTAAGGTCGGCCAGATGATATAGCTAAAAATTCAACTTTTCTCAAGAAACCGCTATATTAAGATACTGTTTTAACAACAGAAATCAAAAGTTCATTAATTTTTGCGCCAGTTTGGTAATTAGGCTTTTTTTCGTATCTTCAGTAATAAGGGTGGGGGAAGCTGGTGAATTTTTTTTTTTTAGAAATTGCTGTATCTTCCATACCCCTCATTCAAACTCATTCAATTTGGGTTTATTTGGAAGAGAATTTCATTGTTATTGAGAACACCACTTCGTTCGAGGTCGATAGTTCCCACCGCGTCTTCTAGAGGGCGCTGTTTATTCAAGATCCAGTTTTTTTCTAATTTTCATGAAAAATCCAAATGGCATAATATTATTTTTGTATTGCTGTGCTCAAAGAGCAAAAAAATATCTACATTTTGGCGCAAACCGCAATTCAATATCTGCATTCGTTTTCAAGTTACGTAAGGTCTATGGTCTCCATAATATCGTACCTTGTCGATCTTAGTGGGACACCCTGTATATGAAGAACTAAATGAGACGCTTCTGATAGAACTTTAAGCTCAGAATTATGTACTTCGCTATGATAAATATTCAGTGGAAGGGAAATTAAGAAAAAAAATATGGCAAATTCCACTCGAAGCGACCAAGCAGCAATTTATCATTCAACTTTTACAGAAACCTGCACAGATTCT